GCTTGTCGAATATTATTGAGAAAAATTCATATCTAAGAATTTAATTATGAGTCATTTAAAAAATAAGAAATAAGGTTTTAAACTTTAAAAATCAGATATTATTAAGATTTATTTATGAAATAATTAATTAAATATATTAAGATCACAATTCCATATAATTTGTGATCACAAATTATCGAATTAATTGGTTATAACTTTTTCTCGATCACAGTTCAAAATTTTCGTAGGTCACAAATTATTTCTCAATCACAAATCAAAAAATTTATAAGTCACAATTTATTTTTCGGTCACAAATCTTAAATTGTATAGGTTACAACTTATTTTAGGTCACAAAATATCAAATTAATTGCTCACTAATTATTTCTAACAAATTATCAAATTGTTGATCAAAACTTAACAAATTTTACCATATATTATTTATTGGTCACTGTTAAAGTTTACACTACCAACAAACAAACAGCCTAACAAATTGATGGTAAATACACAGCACGATTGGGTAGTACATGATTAGAATATAATTTGTTAAGCCAGCTGGCTATAGGTGGTTGTGGAAAATAGAATATCCTCTCTATGCTCTCTGTATATAAGGTAAGCTAGAGAACGTAATTTTATTGTGTGTTTTTGTAATTCTTTCTATTATTTGAAGAGATAAATTCTCGGTTTCTTTCTTGGTATCAGAGCTAGAAAATGGCAAACACTGATTCAAGTGACCAAACCTCGCCAAGCTTAACACCAGCTGTTCAAATGGTATTATTCAATCTTCACCGTTTGGAATGAATCTTACTCAAACACCTGCAGTAAAACTCGACAAGAATAATTTCTTGTTATGGAAGAACATGATTATGCCAATAATCAGGGGGCATAATCTTGAAGGCTTCTTGCTTGGAACAAAAATATGTCCAGAGGAATTTACAGCAACACAGACAACTGTGAATGAAGGAGAAGCCATAGACATGGCTCAGAATGCTGAATACAACAAGTGGATCTCCACTGACCAGCTATTCATGGGGTGGCTATACTCGTCTATGACTCCGAAGATAGCTATGAGAGTTATGGGAAGCACCAGCTCCAACAAACTGTGGATAGCAATTGAAGAAAACTATGGGATACTGAACAAATTAAGAATCGTTTTCTTCACTGGTGAGTTGCAGAGAACCAGAAAAGGACCTATGACTATGGATCAATACCTTTTCACTGTCAAGCAACTGGCAGATAATCTTCAGATAGCCGAAAAGCCAGTAGAGCATGGAGACCTTGTCACCCAAATATTGTCAGGTTTGGATGAGGAGTA